ACATGAGGGGTGGCCTCGTGTTATGACAACCCAACCTTGTGGCAACTAATGCTGTCTGGAGAGAGTGGGAACCCACTCACTCCCTCAAGAATTTGCCCAGTCCCTAAAGAGCAGTGTTAATCTCTCTTAATGGCCTAACCACACCTTAGAGGCCCTACCTCCCAACACCCCCATGCCTGGACCAAATTTCCAACATATGAATTCCAGGGACCGACTCCAACCACAGCAACTGGGAAAATGGAGCCCAAGAGCTGGGGATGAGTCTGACTCCCCCTGGGTACTGAGACAAGTTCACCACTTTGGCTCATCTGAGAAATTCATTGAAGATTCATTACACACCCCCTCCTGAAAGGCCACAGAACACACCCCCAGCTTTTCTGTGGCAGCCTAAAGGCTGCAGCTTCTTCTGTCTTTCCACACCATTCCACATCTTCTCGGCACAATCCCAGTCATGTGTTGTGCTCTCAGAAGACTTATATGAGGAAACAGAGGTCATCTTCACTTTGCAGCCTGAACTCTTTTCAAGGAAGGGAGATGCATTTCGGCTGTCACATTGTATGATGATTGGTACAGCAGGCACAGCAGAGCAGAAATGGAATCAGCTGCCAGGGGCATTTTGAACATCTTCCAAAAAACAATTTTAGGCCATTCTGAAATCTGTTAACTTACATAGAAATCTGTATTGTCCTTACATTCAACTTTCTATAAAGTACATTTTACATTTTTTAAAAGGTGCCTTTCCTTTGATGTTGACAAAAAGAGTCAAGCTCTGTCAAATACTTAAAAGACGTTTATTCTCAGCCAAATATGAGTGACCATGGCCCCAGGCAGCCTCAAGAGATCCTGTAGATATGTCCAAGGTGGCTGGGCTGCAAGTTGGTTTTAAACATTTTAGGGGAACATAAGATATCAATCAATGCATGTGAGGTAGACATTTGGTCTGAAAAGGCAGGACAACTGAAATCAGGCTGGGGAGGGACACAGGGGAGTGAGCTGACAGGTCATAGGTGGATTCAAAGAGTTTCTGATTGACAATTGGTTGAATTGAATTGTATTATTATCTAAAGACTTGGAATGAATCAATAGAAAGGAGTGTCTGGGTTAAGACAAGGGGTTGTGGAGATCAAGGTTCTTATTAGTACATGAAGTCTCATTGGTGGAATTCTGATACGTTTCTGATATGATTTCTGTGTCCCCACCCAGATCTTATCTTGAATTCCCACATGTGGTGGGAGGGACCCGGTGGGAGGTAATTGAATCATGGGGATGAGTCTTTCCCAGGCTGCTCTCATGATAGTGAATAAGTCTCACAAGATCTAATGCTTTTATAAAGAGGAATTCCCCTACACAAGCTCTCTGTCTGCCACCATCCATGTAAAGCATGACTTGCTCCTCCTTGCCTTCCACCATGATGGTGACGCCTCCCCAGCCATGTGGAACTGTAAGTCCAATAAATCTCTTTCTTTTGTAAATCTCCCAGTCTTGGGTCTGTTTTTTATCAGCAGCACGAAAATGGACTAATGTGGTTTCCTATGTAGACCTATAAAAGGTGCTCGACTCTCTCAGGATTAGGAAGGTCTGGAAGTGTAAGATGTAGTAATGTCACAGATTCTTTACAGATGCAAATCTCCCTCCACAAAAGACAGCTTGGCAGCACCATTTCAAAATATGGAAAAGAAACAAATTTGGGGGTAAAATATCTTGATTTCCTTTTTTATCTGTCATGTGATATACAAGTCAGTTGGAGTTGGTATCTTATTGCTAGTCTGTTCTGTCAGTCTTAAGATTTCTATTTTATTTTTATTTTTGAGACACAGCTTCACTCTGTGACCCAGGCTGGAGTGCAGTGGTACAATCTTGGCTCACTACAACCTTCCCCTCCCGGGTTCAAGTGATTTTCATGCCTCAGCCTCCTGAGTAGCTGAGATTATAGGTGCACGCCTGGATAATTCTTGTATAAGTAGTGACAGGGTTTCTCCATGTTGGCCAGGCTAGTCTTGATCTCTTGACCAAGTGATCCACCTGCCTCGGCCTCCCAAAATGCTGGGATTACGGGCATGAGCAACCTCGCCCGGCAAAAGATCTCTATTTTAATATTAACGCTGGTCTGCTTTGCTAAACTCCAAAAAGGAGAGGCGTATCATGAGGCATGCCCAATCCCCCACTGCTTGTAATGGTCTGAACTAGCTTTTCAGGTTTCTTTGGAATCTCCTTGACTGAGAAGAGGGGTCCATCCAGTTGGGTGGGGAGCTTAGAATTATGTTCTTGATTTACAAGGTAGAAGAATATTAGTTATTGCAAGAACATCAAACAACTTATGGCAGCTTCACAATAAGGTATTACACAAAAAAACTAAAGCAGAGTAAAACTGTTTTATTTCCTTTATTGGCAAATATTTCCTCTGGGCAAGACGGTATTGCAAATTCAATTCAAGCTTAAAGACTGACCTGGTTGGGCTGTGGCTCCACCCAAATCTCATCTTGAATTCCCACGTGTTATGGGAGGGACTCAGTGGGAGGTAACTGAATTGTGAGGGCTTTCCCGTCTTGTTCTTGTGATAGTGAATATGTCTCACAAGATCTGATGGTTTTAAAAACAGGAGTTCCCCTGCATACGTTCTCTCTCTTTGCCTGCTGACATCCATGTAAGATGGGACTTGCTCCTCCTTGCCTTCCGCCATGATTGTGAGGCCACCCCAGCCATGTAGAATTTTAAGTCCATTAAACCTCTTTTTCTTCCCAGTCTTGGGTATGTCTTTATCAGCAGCATGAAACAAACTAATACAGAGGCCCTCCCACAATTCTCCCCACCCATGGCTACAATAGGTAATTTTTATTTTATTTTTTTTGAGATGGAGTCTCACTCTGTCACCCAGGCTGGAGTGCAGTGGCATGATCTCCTCTCACTGCGAGCTTTGCCTACCAGGTTCAAGCAATTCTCCTGCCTCAGCCTTCTGAGTAGCTGGGACTACAGGTATGCGCCACCACACCTGGATAATTTTTGTATTTCCAGTGGAGATGGGGTTCACCATGTTGGTCAGGCTGGTCTCAAACTCCCGCTCGCAGGTGATCCACCTGCCTCAGCCTCTCAAAGCGCTGGGATTATGGATGTGAGCCACCATGCCCAGCCTATAATAGATCATCTTTAAAAGAAAAAATGAAAAACCAGCAACACTTCATAGACCAAAAATGCACCAGAAACACATAGCAGCTCACAGGATCCAGACTTTGGGCTCGTGGGGGCTCTGGACCCCCAAAGAGGGAAAGGTGCTTGGGAAGGCTGTCCTCGGAGTGAGGGGCAGAAAGTGACAGCAGTGGAGAACAGCCAGGAGCGTCGCTGAAGACCAGGCTGGAATAAGTCTCTTGCCCCCGTAAGTGCCCAGTGGCTTCACCCTGCCCTCTGCCTACACAACGCCGAGTTACCAAGGCAGGGGAACGGCAATGAAGAAAGAGGAATTCACGCAGAGCCAGCTGTGCAGGAGACCGGAGTTTTACTATTAGTCAGCCTCCCTGCACATTTGGGGATCACAGCTTTTACAGATAATTTGGAGGGTTAGGGGCTTCGGGACATGGGGGGTGCTGACTGGGCAGGCTGGAGACGGCGTCGCAGGGGGGCCAGGTGAGGCTTCCTTGCTGTTTCCTTCCTCAGAACACTCGCCGCGTTTCCTCGCCCCCCTCACCCCTCCGTCCACGGCAGGAGACTCGGCAGAGGCAGCCTCGCTTCAGGACGGTCTGAGTCTGGGTTCCCCTGGGAGCCAGCCCCGAGGCAGATTTGGGTCAAGCAGCTCAGTGGGAAGTGACTCCAGGAAGCCCCAGGAGAGCAGCGGGGAGTGAGCGGGGCGGGAAGGGCGGGCGGCGGGGGCGGCTGCCGCTGCTCGTGGGAAAACGTGGGAGCGGCAGCTCGGGAAGGGACAGGTCCTCAGCTTCTGGAGATTCCCAGTCTGTCCAGACTGTGAAGGCGGAGTCTGAAAGGGCTTCTGAGCAGCAGGAGCACTGCGGTCTAAGGACGGAGCTGAGGGTGGGGCTGCAAACACTTCGTTAGGACTCGGAGCACAGGTGCCCCGGCAGCCATTCTTTACTGCTAGGCTGTCCTCGAGCAGCCCCGTCCGCCCCTGGCCCTCCGGCCCCCCAGGGCACCCACCATCCCGCTCCCTTCCTTCCTCTCTGTGCCAGGCCGCTCGGCCTTTCAAACTCCCTTGATCCCCACGTGCCCCAGTCACTGCCGTCCTGGGACTGCGGGCACGGAAAAATGGATGCCGTCGTCGGCCGCGTGCGTGCGCAGGCGCACCACACCCCGCGCAGGCGCACCACACCCCGCGCAGGCGCACCATACCCCGCGCGCGCGCACACCCTCCCACCGACCCACATGCAGGTGCGCGCGCGCGCACACACGCGCGCGCGCACACAGAATCACCACAGCCACCCATGCGCAGGCGCACTACACACACACACACACACACACACACACACACACACACACACACACACCATCGCCACACCCACCCACGCGCAGGCGCAGCACACCACACCCCGCGCGCGCGCGCGCGAACACCCACACCCACACACACACCATCGCCACACCCACCCATGCGCAGGCGCACTACACACACCCCCCCCCACACACACACACCTTCGCCACACCCACCCACGCGCAGGCGCACCACACCACACCCCGCGCGCGCGCGAACACCCATCCCACACACACCCCGTCACCACACACACCCACGCGCAGGCGCACCGCACCCAAACAGCCGCGTGCGGCACGGTGCCTGCGGGCTTCCGTACTGCGTCTCCATGGCGACCGCGCGGCCGGGCGGCCTCCATTGTCGGGCTGCCGCTCTCTGCTGCCGGGTGGCCTGCGCTCCGGCGGGCGGGGGCCCGGAAGGTGAGGCGGGGCGGGGACGCGGGAGGAAGGCGGTGCCTCGGGCCCGGGTGCCGTCGGCCTGGGCCGCGCCTCTCGGGCCTGGAAGCGTCGGAGTCAACTCGGCCTCGCCGGGAGGGGGAGACCGGGGCGGGGAGCGGGGCGGGCGGGCGGCGGGTCCCCGCGGATTCCGGCGCCGCCCGGGCCCCTGTGAGGTCCACGCTGCCGCTTCGGCGCCGGTTTTGAGAGGTTTCCCCCGTTGTGGGGTCCGAAGCCTCCCCTCCTCTCTTTAAAGTGACGTGATTCGGAGAAAAGCGAACGGACCGTGAAGAGGCCCGCAGGCTTGCGTGGGGTGCGGGCCCCGGGGGGACCGTGCTGGGCTCCCGGGTCGCCGCCACCCCGCGACGCGCGGCGGCCCTCGAGCAGCGGCCGCCTCCCGGAAGAGGCCGTGAGGTCCAGGCGCGGGGCTGCCGCGCGGTGCGCATCCGGCGAGCGGGTGCGTTCCCGCGTCGATCCTCGTCGCGACGAGGTTGCTCGGAGATGGCGAGCGACAGTGCGCCTCGCTGCATGAGGTTCCCGTGAACGGTGCTTCCGAGAAAACGTGTTGCTGGGCGATGGGAACTCGAGATTCTTAATTTAGCAGGTTTTCCCTCGCGCTTCGCTGGGCCTTCGCCGGACGCTGCCGGTCACTGGGCCAAGCGGACACGCAGAAGCTCCCTGGCCCCGAGGAGCTAGCGCCGCAGTTCGGACGGCCCGGAGCCGCCGCCGAGGCGGGAAGCTGCGCCCTGGAAGGAGCCGCCTGCCGCCCGCGTCGCGCCACGGCTGCTCCGCGGGCTTCCGGGCGCGCTCAGCTGCGGGCGTCCGTGACATGATCTTCCCGCCGTGCCCCTTTGCGTTTCCAGGAGTCGACTTTTTTTTTCTCATGTAAAAGTCAAACGTCTGCTGAAAACGATAGCTTTTGAAGCAAGCGGCGTCCCCGCGGCCCTGCCACGCAGCTCTTCCGCTTCGCCTCGCTGTGCTTAGTCGTTTCTCCGTCTCCCGTTCCTGTGTCTCCAGGTGACTCCAGACCGCGGAGGATGAGCTGCTGTCCCTGGAGGAGAACGGATGGAGGGAAGCGGCTCCTGCGGGGCTCCCTCTGCGGCCGCTGCTGATCTGGGGGAGGATGCGGGTCCAACGAGGGGCCTGCCTGCCGCCCCCTCCAAAGATGTTCGCAAGGGTGCTGGAGGGATCGTCTTTTCCTCCTCACCGATTCTAGACTTGAGTCAGAGTGGTCTGTGCCATTTGGAAGATGTCTTTAGAATCCCCAGCCTTCAAGTAAGTGGGGCCGCCCCTCTCAGGCTGCGTGTCCACAGGTCCCCTGTAGACAGAAATGGGAGTCGGCCCCTGGGCTGCCTTTGTAGGCTTCTTTCTCTTTGGAAGTGATGAATTCTAAGATGAAATAGAGGAAAGGTTCACTCATGGCTTTATGTGCCCATCACACAAAATGGGAAGTGGATGATGGGGACCGGCCAATGGGAGCAGCAGTCTGTTTATATGCAGCTGTCTGTTCCCTTCTCTGCAGCTCGTCTCCCAAAACCTGTGGCAGAAACTACGGCCATACATCCTCGGTCTTTTAATTAAAACACAAAACCCTGAAGAAAACCAGGCAACATCAACAGTTAAAAACTTGGTTGTCAGCCATGGTTTTGCTCGTGTTACACCCTGCTTTTACCCTGTGCCCAGCCCTTCTCTGGGTCAGTCTGCAGGAGATGCTGTCTCTTCCCTGTGATTTCCAGAGAAAGCTTCTGTGAGGGCACAGCTTTGATGTCTGACAGTCGAAGGTTCCCCCTGGAGTCCTTGTCACTGCCTGGACTCACAGAATTTCCTTAAACCTCAATTGGTTTATTCTGGACCGTGGGAATGATCATATTTTCATTGGTTATTGTAAGAATGAATAACGTGAAAGCATAGTGTCTGGAACACTGTTATGATATTGATTGACTTTCTTTTTGTATTTTTAGTGGAGACAGGGTTTCTGCATGTTGCCCACCCTGGTCTTAAACTCCTGAGACCGGGTGATCTGCCTGTCAGCCTCTCGAGGTGCTGTGATTACAGGCATGAGCCACTGCACCTGGCCAGATTGACGTTTTTGAGTGCTTTTACAAGAGCTACATATTTGGATGTTGAGTGGCTGCTTATGTTATAAACTCTACATTTTCCTTGTGTTTGCTGGTAGGGCAGTGCTGGTCTTGCTCTTTTTTCCTTCCTGCTGACATCTAGGATGTGGCACTGGTCACAGGGACCTGCTTTGTCCTGGCTCCTGTTACACACATGTCACTTTTAATGAACAGATAAACTCAGCCCTGAGTAAGGGATCCAGCAGACCCCTGAGGTTTCTGTTAACCTTAATGCATAAAGGGAGAAGCAGGAGGTTTCAGAGGCCTTCAGGCTTAATGAAGAAGCTTGGTAACTGTTTACACCGTTTAGAAGACAGATGTCAATATAAATTTTATGACCGTGACAGCAAGTCTTTAAAAGAGGTAATCTCTCAGAGTGGTACACTTTCTGCAGCTGTGGCTACAGCCTCTGAAGTCATAAACAGCACTTCCAGAGATCCCATCCTCACATGAGGCTTCCGGGACCTATCAGGAAAGATGGAACCTGCCAACGCAGGGGCATGGGCAACTCACTCTTCACCGTGCCAGAAACAAACTCACCCATCCAAACCCAAAGAATGGACTCAGAGACCCAGAGGACAGTGGAAGTGGGACTTTAATGATGGTTTTGCAAGATCAGGTGTCTGGTGGGCAGGCAGACCCAGCACGGTTACAACAAGCCGTTTATCCCCTGGTGCACAGGCCCCTCCCCGGCTCCTCACAGGCTGAGTACTGTGGGGTCACATCTTTGCAGACGTCGCCTGTTTGTTGTGGGGCTTTGGGTGTTTTTTTAGGGTTGTCCTGCTGCATTGTGTCGCAGCCCACAGTACATTGCAATCCTAACTAGCTCGGGGCTCTTCACATGTTTGGCTTATGACCTGAGTATATGGGCAGGCTGATAGGAACGAACAGAACAAGCTATTTTACAGGCGAGTAAATTTTCATCTTAGACTAAACTTCTTGGTCTGGGTGAGGGTGTGGGGCAGTGACGGGCAGGCGTTGGCTATCCCGGAGGGGCCTAGTGTATCCCATTTCTTCTGTAGTTTACTGACCGAAGCCGATTCTTGGAAATGGACCACTGCAGACACTAGTTCCTTCAATTCCCTCCTCTTTTTACTCCCATTGGTCCCATTTCCGTATTTATTTTTGTGTCCTTTGGTCCTTAAATTGTTCCAGGAGCTGTTGACTCTTCATCGTAAGAGAGTAGATCTGATTTGGTTTCTAATAATAGTTGATATGTCATGGCCATTTGTTGATGGCTGTTTCAATTAATTTTGGGGTTAACCCTTTAACACAGGATAATGCAACACCCTGTAGCTGTTAGGACCCCGGCCACCGTTATAAGGGTTGGCAGAATGGAGGCTACCATTCCTTTCCTTTTCCCGAACCAGCCCTCTAGCCAGTCAGTAAACGGTCATCAGTGCTGGCATTTTCTGCCAACTCACTGGCTAAAGTTGTTAACCCTTGTAATGCTGTCGTGATGCTCCATCTGGGGTGGTATCGTTAGGAATGAAGGTGTGACACTTTCCACCAGCCTGACGCATATGCCCCCTTTCTCTGCCACAATCATGTCTAGTCTTCCACAGTCGTGTCTGTTCTTCCAGACCATTCGGCTGGTGGCGTCTAACTGGCTAGCCACTCCTTTGAGAGCGTCTCCAGTACAGTTGATGAATCTTTGTTGAATTATAATAGAGGTAATAAATCCAATCCACGTTTTATTAATAGTTGACCACCAGCAGAGTGCTGACACAAACCCGGCAGCTCTTTGGTTTGGGGCCTTAAATTCATTAGGTACTCCTCCAGGACTCCTACTGAGTCAGTATAAACGTCGGGATCAAAAGGATTTGTTAGATCTCCGACGTCAGTGGCCATGTGGATTCTCAGGCTCTTACGGAATGGAAGCTTGAATTAAGGCACAAGTCCCGGTCCAGCTGGATGGTAGCAGGTCATGGAGGCAGCTCTTGCTACGATACCACCAGACATCAGCCCGGGGTGTATAAAAAGCCAAGCAATTGCCTTTGTTTGACTCGCCAATAGTGTTTAGGATGTGGGTGCAAGTTGAGAGTTCTCCCACAGGCCTATTGAACTTTGCCCCCTGCCTAGAGAGGCAAGAGGAGGGGTTCACATTCCCTAAGGAGAATGAGGGGGTTGCTCTAGGATCTGATCTCCGCAAGGCGGGGAAGAGCAAAGGTAGACTTCTGCAGGTCCCGTTGCCCACGTATCCCTGTCCTGGTGCACAGCCAACGTGCAGCGCATTGCGTCGGGATTGGCATCCCATCCTGGCGAAATGGAACCACCTCTGCCTGAGGCCGCCCAGCCGAGCATGAGTAACCGTCGCTCTTATGAAGAGCTAGTACTGAAAATTTGACGCGTTCACCCCAGGCATTTGCATCCCCATATGCGGTCTCGATTTCTAACGTCTGCCTCAAGTCAGTTACCTTAATTACTTTTACTCTCCTAGGATCATTGTCCAGTAGGTTGAAGGAGGCAGTGGGACCAGGAGTTATAGTAATCCTGCGTGGGCTTGGGGTGGAGGTGGTGATGTCCGTAAAAGCTAACCGTTCCCCAGGATCCCTTCCTGAGATGGTTATTCCTAGTCCATACCTCCGAGGTTCCTGGTCTAGTGTAGCTGGTTGATGTTAATTAATCCAGGATTGCGTTCTAAATTTCCACAGTTAGGTGGCGTGAGGCCCTTATGCAAATATGTTTTATTCTTTAAGGGTTTGTTTTTGGAACGAAGGCTCACCCAGCCTCGAAATGGGTGGTCCATTAGGCGACATTCCAGCTGGCGCAGGGCTTCCCCACGGCGACGGTTTCAGGACATGCGTGTTTGCTCGTGACAGCTGCCTTTGTTTCCCTAAATACCCACCATGGAATACTTGGCAGGCATCGAACTTCATGGTCTGGAGGGTGCAGGTTCTAGCTATGCTGACTCTTAGTTTGACTGGGTCTTCTTCTTCCTCCGGCTCCATCCAATAATTGTGAACCCTCTCACCCTGGCAGTAGGCTTAATCCCAGCCACATTCACCCCCAGTGACAGAGCCTGCTCATAGCTTCCTAGCGAGGTTTTTCTGGAGTTAGCCGAAGGGCTCCTTCGGGGATCTGTACACGTCCCCTTCACCCTTTTCCCTTCCTTCCGGGGGTTCTTTACCAGTCTCGTGACCGCGTGTCATGTGTCCACCCCGTTCAGCTGTTCGTATGCTCCCTCAGTGGTCAGGAGCACTTGATAGGGGCCTTCCCAGCTCGGGTGGAGCTTGTCTCCTGTAGCACTGAGTCGCCAGGCTGGATATGGCGAACCTGTGAGCTCATGGGCGGGCTGTGAGTCAGAAGTCCTTTCAGCCTAAGGGATGACAGGGTGGAGGATATGGCCAGTATAGAATTTCTTAACAGTTGCTCTTTGGGTTCCACAGTAGGAAGGCCCATAGTCCTACCTAAATGTGATCGTCCATGGAATAACTCGTAAGGGGACAATCCCAAGTCTTTCCTTGGAGCTGACCTAATCCTAAGGAGAGCTGTTGGAAGACATTGGGTCCAAGGCGTTTTAGTTTCTAAGATTAGTTTAATAAGATGGTTTGGGAGAGTTTGATTCATTCTTTCTACCTTTTCAGAGGAAGGGGAATGCCAAGGGGTATAGTAATCCCATCCAAAGTGTAAACCCTCCATAATTCCCCTTAGCACCCTCGAGGTAAAGTGGCTCCCATCGTCTGAATCAATATTTTCCACCAGGCCAAATCTGGGTATAATTTCTTCTAAGATGATTTTGACCACATTCCGGGCAGTGGCAGTTGGGAGGGGCAAGGCCTCCACCCAGCCAGAGAGGTGGCCCACCAGTTACCAGTAGATACTTTAGCCTCCCTGTTTTGGACATTTCTGTAAAATCTTCTTGAAGGAGGGCTCTTTCCAGTAGTCTGTTTTCTTTTTTTGAGATGGAGTCTCACCCTGTAGCCCAGGATGGAGTGCAATGGCGCAATCTCAGCTCACTGCAACCTCCGCCTCCTGGGTTCAGGCAAGTTCTCCTGCCTCGGCCTACTGAGTACCTGGGATTACAGGCTCCCGCCACCATGCCTGACTAATTTTTTGTATTTTTAGTAGAGACCGGGTTTCACTATGTAGGCCAGACTGGTCTCGAACTCCTGACCTCATGATCTCCCCGCGTTGGCCTCCCAAAATGCTGGGATT